TAACTTTTGTAGATGAACATTTTGTACGCGATGAACACCGTTGGAACCGCCTCGTCCTCCGCTTTCAGAAACTATATACTTTGCCTGGGGTCCATTAGAAAAAGTGCCGGGTGAAGGGTGGGTGAGACTTTTATAATGGGAGTGCTCAAGTAGACGTCTTTTCACAATGGTAAAAAAGCCTGTACTTGAGCACTCCCATTATAAAAGTCTCACTCACCCTTCACCCGGCACTTTTTTTAACGGACCTCAAACATAGTATATATCTTCTGAAAGCGAAGGACGAGACGGTTCCAATGGTGACCATCGCGGCGTACAAGATGTTCATCTCCTAAAGTTATGAATTTTTTTATGTTAAAAACCCGAAAATCTCCAGAAATTATTAGGTTGTAACAAAATTGATGCAGGTTTTGAATTCCAACCGCAATAAATCATATAATTCTCATTTCTAACTAGGTCGCAAAGTACCATTCGATAGAGCAAAGCAAGCTCTACAAGAGGGCTATTTTGCTTTAGCAACAACTCTGATCTACCACGAGTTTCGATCCAAAAACTAAAAAGATTCAACTGTCCGAAAAATTGAGAAAAATCGTAACTCAGTTCATAAAAAACCTACAAAAATTCTAACTTGCTCACGTAAACACTATTCACATAAGATATCTATATACGCCGTTGCCGTATTTTTTTCTCTGTTAGAAATCAAGAAAACGGAAATTTTCGTGCGTTTGTCGAAGTGATGCTGTGCCGTTCCCACATACGTAGTTGTTACAAACCTGTAGAAGTATAAACGTAAATTTTCAGCTCTCTACAAGCTTTAGTTCTCAAAAAATATCGAATACAGTTTTGGCTAGTCATGTGATCCAAGCTAAAATTCAAATTTTTCGAGAACTAAAGCTTGTAGGGAGCTGAAAATTTACGTTTGTACCTCTACAGATTTGTAGTATACAATTACTTATGTGGGAACGGCATAGCAACACTTTGGCAAATGCACGAAAATTTCCGTTTACTTGATTTCTAACAGAAAAAAATTACGGCAAAGGCGTATATAGATGTCTTTTGTGGATAGTGTTTACGTGAGCTTAGAATTTTTGCAGGACTTCTATGAACTGACAATGAGTTATGATCTTTCTCAGTTTTTCGGGCGCTTGAATCTTTTTAGTTTTTGGCTCGAAACTCGTGGTGAATCAGAGTTGTAGCTAAAGCAAGATGGCCTTCTTGTAGAGCTTGCTTTGCTCTATCGAATGGTACTTTGCAACCTAGTTAGAAATAAGAAGTGTATGACTTATTGCGGTTGGAATTCAAAACCTGATTAATTTTGTTACAACCTAATACAAGGACACTCCCCACCCAGGCACTTTTTTTAATGGACTCCAGGCAAACTATATATCTTCTGAAAGCGAAGGACGAGGCGGTTTCAAGGTGACCATCGCGGCGTACAAGATGTTCATCTCCAAAAGTTATGAATTTTTTTACGTTAAAAACTCGAAAATCTCCAGAAATTACAAGGACACCCCCCACCCAGGCACTTTTTTAAAGGACTCCAGGCAAACTATATATTTTCTGAAAGCGAAGGACGAGGCGGTTTCAAGGTGACCATCGCGGCGTACAAGATATTCATCTGCAGAAGTTACGGATTTTTCTATCCTAAAAGCTCGTAAATATCCAGAAATCACTACCCACACTCTTCACCAGGCACTTTTTCAACAGGCTTTAGACAAACTATATATTCCCTAAAAGCGGAAGACAAGATGGTTTTAAAAATATTTCTTTTGCTGACGTTGCTGTTCATCTACAGAAATTACGAATTTCTTCTTTCAAAAAAATTCGTAAATGTTTAAAAATTGTCTAACTCTTCCGAAACAAATGTTCTCGCATGCACATCTTCTATGGTAATTCCAAAAACAGGCAGGTGATGTAAAAAAGGAAAAGGAAATGATGAAAATACAAGGTGCTGGTCAGAAATAAAATTGTGTGCTAATCCAGCAGCACATCGGTTCACATTTCAGAAAAAAAGATAACCAGTGATGGTAAGGAATAAATTATGAACTTTGATTAGGAAAAATGATGAGAAAACACCATGGCTTTCCCCCCCCCCCCCCCCGTCGACGTTTCGTAACTTCTCTACCAAGTGAAACACCCTTCACCCTGGAGAGGCTGCGACCATTGTGACCCCCTTCACCCTGGAGGAGTCATTCTCACCTTATCGCACCTGTGGTGGCAAGTAGCCTTCACTCGACCGCTGACAGCGTCAGAGATCGCTTTGTCATGTACTGTACTCGGTACTCGCTGTTACACAAGTATTATGACCTACACTTTGTTCACGAAGCAAGTACAACGGGCCCACAAGAGTTCAGTGATGCGTTCGTAAAGGAGATTGACCAGCATCTGAAAGAATTGGAAGAACTGATTCGATTGGAGAGGAAAGATGTAAGGCCGAAGAAAGCTTGCGGAAGAAAGAAGCCGTAACAGCGATGCCGAGAAAGGATAATAAGGAATCTGAAGGGCCGAATTAAAAGGCAGGATGAAGAACTGTTCAGAATGAAAGCCTCAGCAAAGAGAAAGACAAACACACAAGATGAGCTGATTCAGACTGAATACAACGTCACAAGTATCGAGACGCAGACAGAAGGACAAGGTCCACGAAATGGTCTCCTTGATGAAATGGAAGTAACAGAAATGACACACAGAAGTGAAAGAGAAGAGCACGGTGTCGAACAAGAGCAGCTGGTAGATATCGACGAAGACCCCACCGATCCCAATGACAAACAATGGATGACGAGCGACACTTTTACAAGTTATCAGAGGAAGACGAACAGCAGATAGAAATGGAGAAAGCACAAGCAAGAAGAGAAGTAGAGAAGAAAGAAGAAGAGTGCAGGGAGCTCGTCGAAGAAATACAAGAGATGGAACGCATCCTACAAGGATATCCACCTCAGGCAAAAGTTCCGGACGAGCGACCACAAGTACCGGGCGAGCGGATTTCACTTTTCCGGGTGGTCCGGTGGACGCGAGCGCCCGGCCGGTATTGGCGACCGTTCGCCCGGTCATCGCGAGCGCTCAGCCGCCAGCAATCCAAACGTTGTACGCTCGGCCGGTCTTTGTGATTATTGACGTGGTGATTGTAAATGCTCGCCCAGTCTTTGTAGTTGTTGAGGTCATTGTGGAAGCTCGCCCGGCCTTTGTGGCTGTTGATGCGATATTTGTTCTCTTAGCTCAAAGTCCTTCCTGCCCATAAATTACACACAATTCAATAATTTTTATTCGCAATCTTACAATCAGTCTTATGAAAGAAAACACTTAACAAACACAATAGTCAAAAGGACTGAAAACAGCACAAAATTATTCACAAAAACAGAACAAACGAGACTTTGTGAATATATACTTCAAACAAGTCAACAGCTCAGCTCTCATAGGCAATGGATCGGCAAAACTTGGCAACCCAGGACTTTAACGCAGTAGGTTCCTTACCGTCCAAGTGTGAAAACAGTGCAATCTCGGTTGCACAGCTGCCTTCCCTGTCGAGAAAATCGCCCACAAATTTAAACGCGCAAGCCAATCTTGCACGCACCCGGACGAGTTGACAACTTCCTTCTCACCCCGGAGGCTGCCCGCCGCAATGCTATAATTATAGGGTCCCGCAACGATTCAGCATCATCAGCCTGGGTCCACCCGTCCAATTTTGAAGGGAAGGGCGTCGAAAATGGTCGTTTTCGCCGTTTTTGAGCTTTCTAGAGTGGATTTTCGTGATCAGAGTATTGGATAACTTCAGGGAAGCGAAAATTTGACAAGGTTGAGATTTGCCGAGCCACTGTCTTTAAGCTGTTCAAGAAGCTACTGAAACAAAGGAACGCAACAGTCACAAACTGTTCACTTCATAGGCTGCGTTCATACTGATTCCCATGTTCTGGAACTGTTCCCGCACAGTTCCCGCACAGTTTCAGCCAGTTTCAGCACAGTGCGAGAACTGTGCGGGAACAGTTCCAGAACTGTGCTGCATGCGCAGCAGCCGCCCCGCACCGTTTTGAACGGCGGGAGCTGGAGAATTTGGACCGTTCTCAACGGTTTTTCTTTCAGATTTCGCTCATTTTGGCCTTAATCCTCCACCCCGCTTTCCTTTTTGATCAGCAGCACTGCGAACTCGAAGCGGGGTTGAAGAATGAGCGCTTTTCTGCGCCGTGTATTCGGAAAGGTGTACCAACAAGTCGCTGCGTAGTCTTGCATCGTATTAAAGTTGAAATAGACAAGTCTTTAGAACACATGAAGTAGGTCTGAACAAAAATAGCGATGAGAGAATGGACGAGCGCACGAAGGCCCATATTCCCGGATACATGGAGCAGAACAGCGTTCAATCCTCAACCCCGCTTCAAATTTACAGCTTTTCTCATCACTAGGAGAAGCGGGGTAGAAGAAAGAACGGAGAAGCAACGACATGGAAAAACGAACAAGGCTAAGAACGCCCAAAATCATGAAAAACAAGAGACAAGTCCCAACTCATGCAATTTCAGGATTTCTCCTACTCCCTAATTTGTGGCAGATGCCTACGGAAACTGGGCAGCCGCTTCCTGGAACAAATGAAGTAGTTTTGAGCAAAAAACAAGAAGACAGAATGAACAATCGCACGATAGCCCATCTTGCCGAATACACGGCGCAGAAAAGCGCTCATTCTTCAACCCCGCTTCGAGTTCGCAGTGCTGCTGATCAAAAAGGGAAGCGGGGTGGAGGATTAAGGCCAAAATGAGCGAAATCTGGAAGAAAAACCGTTGAACGGTCAAAATTCTCCAACTCCCGCCGTTCAAAACGGTGCGGGGCGGCTGCAGCGCATGCAGCACAGTTCTGGAACTGTTCCCGCACAGTTCCCGCACAGTTCCCGCACAGTTTCAGCACAGTGCGAGAACTGTGCGGGAACAGTTTCAGAACATGGGAATCAGTATGAACGCAGCCATAAGGCCATTTGCACAGCTTCGAAGAGCCGCAGCCTGCACACAAGCCTTTCATGTGCCATTCTATCGAATACTTCCACCCTCTCCTCTCTTGTTTCTCCGAGGCTTGCGAAAAAAAACCTGTAAAGAACCTGGAGTTATGTATTTTAAAAAAATGCTCTAGCTAGCTTCACCTTTCTGTCCACTTTGACCGCTGCTTCTTTTCTGCTGCTCTTTCTGTTTATGCCGAAAAAAGAACGAAGAATGAGCACACATATCTAAACTCACAAATAGCAAAAGCCTCATGACCCAATGTATCATGCTTTCGCGAGGGACTCCTGTTGATAAAGCGCAATCTCGTCACGCTTACAACACTAAGTAAGTGATGGGTGAGGAAAAGGACTCGTTCTGTATTATCTTGTCTGAAAAGGATCACTAAACAGTGTATCTGATAAGTGTGTGATGTAATAATCCACCTTTCTCATCGCACTTCAATTAGAAGTGCCTTTCAGGCTTACGCTCTAGGTTCCAAAAGTAAAACGCTTGTGGGACAGAGGGTAAATTTGCCAAATTCCAAAGATTCAACTTCGTGGAGATCATCACATCACAGCATACATACCAGTACCAGTACCATACCATATCATACCATTACATACCAGCTTAGGTGGAGCGCTACGAAACTAAATTACTTGGTGTACAGTAGAGTAAATTTTCCGCTTAATGTGCTTGCACTGTAGGTGAAATGCGGTAAAATCTGCGGGCGATCACTTAGCCATGCAAGTAATGCCGGCATTCTGCGCACGCAATTGGAAGGCGCCACAGGCGTAACTATTTCTTAACGCGCAAATTTTACCTCATTTCACCAGCAATGCAAGCACACTATATTACGCGAAAAATCTACTCGACTGCGCCCTCGTTAATGATTATAAATGGGAGAATAAGTTTACGAAACTACAATTTCATACTTTCAGAGTAATTTGAGCCTTATAAACTTTCATGTTTCTTTGCCTGTTTGAGTAGCCACCGGTTGCATAGGTCCCGCTTATTTAACTTGCAGTTTTGACTGAAAAACTAAGAACTTTAATTGATAAACAGAATAACTAACCGATTTGATAAAAGTAACGAGATGTAAGTCTTGAACTTGCGTAGTCATCGTAAACACACAGCAAAAGTAAAAGCTTCGAGTAAGTTTGAAACACATGCAAAAGTAAAAGTTGGGGGATGTCAGCTCATACAAAGGGTCTTGAACACTTGACAATAGAAGTTGGATAGTCTGCGGAAGCTGGCTTATAAAGAATAAGTTTCACAAAAAGTTCGTGTATACTCACTTTTACAAAGGGTTTATCATCTAAAGTCTCCAAAACTTCCATGGTTAACCCGCTGTGCATTGTAATTTTTCCCACAAAGGAGTTGTTTTTTATCATCTTCATTTAACTCGCGATCAAAAATTGCGGGCTTCCATGACGGGAGTCCTGTGCGAAAGTGCAATTTGTACTGAGTCACGAGGCACGCTTTTCGCAAACAATTGTAACCATAAATACGAGTAGAGTAAGCAGCGATCAGGATTTGGAAAGTACTCACATTCGTAACTGCGGCGTTGTTGAATGTAGCCTGTCCCTCTGGGGTTTCCCGTGCCACTCCTGGTCGTCGACACTGAACTGAAATGATGAGGTGAAGCACGCTTGAAAATGAATGGATGTAAGCGTATGTGTGCGAAGCAAGTAAAAGAATGAGAAAGCGGGGTTGAGTGAATGAAGACAGCGTGGCACTAGTATGCTAGGTTTTGGCACGTGGTGACGTGTGAAATGTTGGGTTGCCAGCAAATTTGAACACCATCGATTTCCCGCGCTTCGGTTGCGGGCTGGTCGGCCGGTCAGTGATGCCGCTCAGCCGGTGGCTGTAAGCGCTCGCCCGGCATCTTTCGATCGTATACCGGACAGCGGTTGACTGACGGACGCCCGGCCGGTGAATGTAGCCGCTCGCCCGGTGCTTTCTGATTGCGGGTCGCTTGCCCGGCGAATAAGCTCGCGGAGAATGCAACCGCTCGGCCAGGGGTCTCTGATTGCCCGGCGCTCGCCCGGTACTTTTGCCTGAAACGTCGTCACTTTGGAGAAGCTCCGCAAGAGACGCACGTACAAATCAACTGTGCATTCTGCAGGGCGATGGACGCACATTACTCAGACTCTTGCCCCAGAGTCACAAAAGGAGACGCCAGGTACGAGTTAGTAAGGAGGGACAGCCTGTGGTTTATTGCTTGGATTCCTGCCCGGTAGGCCGATGTCGCTTCAACTACTGCCTGTGTTTCTATTGCAAGAGAATCGAGAGCACAATCGTGGTCAGGCTGCTGCCACGCGACAATGGACATCACAAGGCTTTATGTACAGTGCCGGACGAGCGAGATACCGTGAGGAGGTGGATTAGTGATTTGCGTGGACGCCACAGTCGCGCACGTCGGGAGCTGATGAAAATGAAGACGAATAACTAGAAGAAGGAAATGGAAGTCCTGCGGCGGGAGTGTCGCCGACGCGACTATAGAATCTGTAGTTTGTTCGTTTGTTTGTTTGTATTGATAAATAATGGCGTTATATCACAAGTACATGGTACAAAATGAGGCCACGAAAAACAATCAAGTACGGCAAAATAAGCAATTAGGAGGAGGAAGCCTGGCGTGGCGGGAGTGTCGCCAAAGTAGTCGACTATAAGAAGTTCTAGGAGTATTGCCAATGGCGATACCGTAGATTGTACATACTGTATATTTATTATTTATTGTTCATTGTTAGTTAGTTTTGCCTTGTATTGTAGTGGTTAGAAGAATGCCCCAAGAGATCAATCTTACCCCATCACCTTATCACTATTTCTTCAGTCAAAAATGACTGCAGGTAAACAAGTCCACAAGGTATAAATACCGTTGGATGAGTGAGGTAGGGATTCTTTCACAAGTCTGCTCACCAGTCGGGAGATCACAAGTAAGAAAGAAGAAACAACCTCGAGTATTGACAGGTTTTTGAATGAAGTTTAATTCCCTTTGAGACCCGCGTGGCACGACAAACAAAGAAAATATTTTTCTACAATGAAAGCCTGTTTGTGACTGCTTGACTGTACTCAACAGAACCGAATTAGTGTGTTTTATGGAGAGTACCCATGTCCCCTTTTTTGCCAGCAAAATTATTTTGATTCTAACAAGCAAACGGTTTGATGGTGGATACACTGTCTAGTGCGCCAAAATAATTTGCGCCAAAATATTCAAAGTAATGCCACAACAATGGCAATGGGAAATTTTCTCTGGGTTTAATGTCACAGAATGCCGTAAATATACTCTACAAAAAGCACTATCAAGATCCCAAATCGGTCTTTATTTAAAGAAGTAAGAATTGCAAAAGCAATGTTCGTGACAGAAAAAAGCAAGCTGACGCAAATTATTAGATAGTCAAAATTTTTGTTTTGAATGCCCCTAAAGATTCCGAACCTCAATGATCTTAAAATTCAAAGTTAGATCTATTTTATGGCGAAATCTTCACCTGAGAGAAGCGATCATTAGAAAGATACATACTGGGCAAGTTTGTGGGCCTCTATCCGCGTGCAGCGCGCGATGAAGTCAGAAAAATATTATAAATTTTTACCAAAAAGGAAAGTATGCCGAGATGAGCGCAGTGACTCAAATGAATAGCAGAAGGATTGTAGTGAATGGCTAACTCATATGTGAGTAAGATCATATTAAGCTAGTGTAATCTATTGAGTGGTAATCATACCAACTCGTTTGCCAGCAGAAAATGCTCTTAATAAAATAAGAATTCATAATTCACAATTCCGACACTATTCTCAATATTAATTTCGCAATCAGTCAAGGTTGCGAAATTTTTGCCTAGTTTGGCGGCTCGGTGTGCCCTAAGCACTTAGATCTAATTCGAGTAGCCAACTGCCCGCTTTAGGGAACCTCCAGACCGCACCGGTTGCCGCTTTTGCAGCCAATAGCCGCTTTCGCGTTGGTTGCCGCTTTTGAGCCGAAGAAGCGCACTAACAATAAGTCAGAGCTTGTCTGTAACGCGCATAAGAGGGACTTGTTCTGCCTGAGTATTTGCAGGATTTTCAGCATTTCGTCCCTGTTCTTCAATGAAGGTTCTCTTTAACACACTGACGACCGCTTGACACACCATGTGTGTCAAGCAGTGACTACCACGTGGGATCGCTTGACACACATGGTGTGTCAAGGCTTGAACTTCGTTAAAATGACGACTATCTCGGTACAAATTCATTTTAGAAGTTTTCTGCTGCTGTGAATCTAGAAATGACCTCTACCTTCTTTGTCAACCTTCCACGCTACTGTAGATATACTGTAGATGGCAGTATGCGTGATTTTATTTAAAAAATGCTGACTGGTCCGTAAAAGGTCTTGGTCTCAAGAGGGGCAGACAATCAAAAATTTGCGTAGTCGTCAATGTGTTAATGTTGTAGTAAACAACTCTGTTGCACATTTGGTTTATTTGATTTGGCTTCCATTTTTTCGTCGTTCAGCGCTGGGGTGGTCGTATCACTGTCGAACGAAGTGCCCTTTTGATCCTTCTGCTACGAAGCTATTAGTTTATGTGAAAGTGAGCGGAATACTATCAGAAATTCGTCTAATTTTCACTTCCATCTCGATATTGCTAGGAATGAGGTTTCCTTGAATTTGTCTTCTTGAAACTCTACTACTTTGAGCTATTACATCTTTGCATGGCGTGCATTTGTTTTGTCATATTGCTATGCTGGATGAGCGATATCGTTGTTGAACGAGATTTCGATGTGCTAGTTTTCCTTTTTGGTTGTACTTTACTATGCTGAGTAAACGAAATCTTCCAAATCGGAGTCATACTGATGTTTTTTTTACGTCTCGAGACTATCGATTATGAAAAATTACGGAACCATTAGCCTAGATCTTATAGTTTTTACAGGAGTGATTTGAGCCTAAATCGTTTTCTTTGCTCTGAGTAATAGTTGGTGAAAGCACAGCTATTAAAAGCGGAAAATGGGAAAACCTGTATTTGGATGACTTCTAATTTCACAGTTTGAGGTCTCTTGAAGCGGGATTTTCGAGATGGACAAAGAAAGTGCTTGCCAGTGCTTTGTCTTGAGCGCAAAAACGGATAGCTAATTTACCTTAGAAACAAAGTCAATCATGTTGGAAAATGACCATTTCACCTAGGTAGCCTAGTATCTTGAATCTTCAGAATTCGCTCAAACTTTGTTTACAGGATCAATTGACATGCTATTTATGGATATGATACGAGTATCATGTTATCACTATTATCAGATCACCCAACTACGACCCCCTCCCCTTTTGACTCCTCAATACGGCCCCCCAAGTGTGGCGTGCCACACCTCACGCTTGACCCTGCTTATAACTAGGCGACAAAGGAAAATAATAAAGGTGGAACCAAACTACTAAACAATTAAAAAGCTTAACACGAAACGAGCTGCCCCGTCTCGTGCAATCAATGAAGCATGTCTACTGAAATCTCTGACAACAATTGCTCCTGAGGCTTCACCTATACAGATCCGCCGCGCGTCGACAAAGATGAGAGGCGCGACATCTCTCCCTCTCAAGTTTCACAAAATCTCATTAATACTTAAGGCTAAAAGATGGTCCATCCGAAATTAATCGCGAACCCGACCAGAATTTCTATCCACTATGGATTCCGATATGCTCGATCACCACTGCGAATTATCAAGAGCGTGAGCTAAACTGCCAGGCACGAGCACAATGAAAAACATAAGAAAAGATTATCGGCCGAAAACGAAGCAAACAGACGCTGCGATGAGCCGTCGATGCTGTTTTTGTGGCAAAGCGTCAAGGAAGGAGAGGTCCGGAGGAGTGCGACATGCGTGAAAAAATCCGTAATGGTAGCCTGATAGTGCGCCAGCAAACAGTGCCCCCGGGCCTCCTACTTCTAGGAGGCTCAGCGCTGATCGCTGAGCCGCAACACCTAATTTCCGGGTGAGGACATGAGTGAAGCTTACCGCCTGATGAACAATGATATTTTTGCCATTTTAATCATTTTGATATCCATTAACTGTGAAGAAAGATCATTTTGTAGTGTGCTTAACTTGGAGAATGTCTGCTTGTATTAATGAAAGTTCAAAGTAAGTCGCGCTGCTGTTCAAAGTCAGCAATCGGCTGTAGAGAGTTTTGAAAATTACATTATAAAAGCAAGGGAAAATACTCCTGTTCTACAGCCGAGCTCATTTCTGTACAAGAAACAACATAGAGTACCTCCCAAAAAACTCGCACAGACAGCTTTGAACCCAACCAACACAGTATCTTGTTTAAAGCCCTGGCCATACGTGCAGCGATTTCATCGTCGCGATTTCATCGCCCAAAGAATTTTGTGATTGTAGCGACGAAATCGCGACTATCAAATCGCTCATAGCGAGTTCTGGCCATACCGTCCAACGACTGCATGCAATTACACATCTTAGCATACATATTTCGTAAAACTTTGTGCAGTATTCACATTCACCTTGGTGATGAATTATGAATCTGCCTGCCTATGAATGCTTGGAAATCAAAACGTACTCAGGCAATAACTTGGACGAGCGGCGGGCCTCTACAGGGCGGGCGCTCCCGCTGCTCATCCTCTAGAAGCACGCGGCCCGCCTGCTAGAAATAAGAGCGGGCGAGCGGAGTACCAGCGGACGACCATCGTACTTCCCTCCACTCTCCTGCTAAAGGTACTCCGCTCGTCCGCTCGCATCAAAGCGGTCGAGCGGAGTGTCTTTGGCGGGCTAATATCCATACCTTGTCCCATTCTCCTTCTAGAGATATGCCGGCTGTTTCTGAAGACACGGATTTGACAGCCTACTATCGTTGCGCTAATAACCTTGCCCTTTTTTTTGCTACAGACAGATATGCTGACGGCTGAATTTGTGAGAAGGATAAATATATACGAACAATTATTCGACTTATAGTTTATTACAAAAGCTAACTACATGCAAAAGCAAATGCAATGAGCTTGCTTAGCGTCAAAAAGTGAAACAGCACGAGATAATAAACCGGAACAAAATAAACCACAAAATCACATTCTCATGAGGGCAAAAAAGGTGCAAGAACGCATTTACACATACGCGAAAAATGCACTGTTCAGTATCAAAACTCTTTCTAAAATTTTTTCATTCTTTTTCTTCCAACTTCTGACGCATTTTCAGCTCCTGGTGCCGCACGCTTCTGTCGCTGAAGTACATAAAATAAATATTAAATTGCCTATTTGGTGTAATGTTCTCACATCGCTAGGGACCCAACTCCCCGACACGGAACTGTAAGGTCGCGCATCTCTCCAAATTTGAGAGCAATATGTAGAATGGTGAAACCGATTTCTTGAACGTACAGTGCCACTTGCAGACACGTAAAGAGGTGAGGTCGCCAGTCCTTCGCTGTATCAGTTCATTCAAATTTTTGTCTCTTTCTTCATTCGTCTCTCCTAGATCCTGTAAAACCTTCAATGAATTATGTGGTAGTCACAACAACTCTCGATCTTTAAGAGCTCACTTAGAATCTTCAAGATTGATGTCTATCCAGGGCTTTAATTCATCATGCCCGAGACCCAGTATATTTTCTCCAAAATCTAAATATTGGTAATATTGTCAAACCGTACTCTTACTAATTTATCTTTTACCTTTCAACACTTCCTCAATCTCTTCTGGGAGGTTTTTTAATGCTTCGTTTCTCCCTCAGGTTTGGTTTATTCGCACGGAGAATTCCTGGATTTTTTGGAGGTTCCGTGATCTAAATGCACTTTGTAGAACGCACTCTAGCTTACAAATCTTGATCAAATTAAACTGCGGGCGGGCCGGAGGTCTTTTGAGGCAGCGGCTCGTGTCTGAGGTAGAATGACCCCTCGCAAGGTGCGAATCCCTGAGTGTGTGGGGCAGACACCTCAGACAATTATTGTGAACACTCGCGGCCCCTTAAGGTACTTTTCGGCGGTGCGTGGGCGTTAAAATCTTAAATTGACTATCCGCGGCCTAGATTTAATTTCTTCGCCACCCGCGGCTCAATGTTATCGCTAGGGACAGGCTGCGGGAATCCAAAGTTCTATCGGAACACCGCGGCCTAAGAAAAGACACTCACGCTAGCTCCGGTTGCTGGACGCTACAATCAATACATGCTGTAGGAGAGAATGCTACTCGCGTGAGATGCGCCGCGGTGATAGGGCTACCTTCAGCATTTGCGTCGTATGGCAGAAGTCAAGTAGCGTCAAGTTCCTAGCGAATGGGGTCTCGGGTCTCGGTTGAGCCCTATAGGACTACTTGGTCCTGGAATTAGGTGGGCTATCGGAAACTTTGGTATAATGATTTAACTTTCATGCAAGGCCAAACATTATGAACAGGAGTCCGAAAAATTATGAAAGTGTTCGAAAAAACTTCAAAATTTGGGAATAATGTTTATGAGCTTTATTGCTTTACCAGGTGTAACGGGGCACCCGCGGGTGCAAACTGCGCATTAATCGGGCGCTTCCCGGGCCACCCGCTGCCGTTGTTCGGGCACTTATCGGGTCATCCGCGCATTGGCGAGTGGTTACCGGGCACTTAAGGGCACGTCATCGGTATGGGCGTGGTGTCGTCCGTGCTCAGATAACCGCCGGGGGCAAGCGGCCATGCAAATTTTGAGCAAGCGCGCACCGGAAAAATAGTTCGTTGATTTTTTGCGGCCCGCTTGCAGAAATTTGGAAGAAAGTTGGCGGAATTAAAGACGAATGCTTGAAGAACAATCGCGGTTTCTTTATGGATTAGCTGCGGCGCAGTGGCCGCATTCTCGCGGACTTTCCGCGAGAATATGCAAAAATTTCGAGGGCCGCACGGTCCTTTGTGGAGGACCGCGCAACCCCCAGGTACTTTCCGCTGAGAGAAAGTACCCCAAACTTGGGTAATAAAACCATCGATGGTACCTCTGCCACCTAGAGTTTCATCTTTTCTCGGCGTACGCCCGAAACTGCATAAAAAGAGTCCGAGCGCTTGCTGAAAGTTTGACCAGCGCTCGCTGAAAGAATTTTTTTGCCGAGCGCTTGCAAAAAATGGTGTTTTGCTGCCCGCTGGCAGAATATACGACGTGCCGCCCGCTGAAGGTTTGGCCACGCCCCAAAATTCTGCTGACCGCCTGCAGAAAAGCGCGAGTTTGCGGACCGCCTGCCCCCGGCGTTTATCTGAGTGGGTGGCCGGCGGGTGCTCGCCATATTTGTCTGAGCACACTTACCTGCTTATCGTTGAGGGCCACTGCTAGTTGACCGTCCTCAAGCCGCAATAACACTTAAAGGCAGCGTACACCCAAAACAAATGCAACAGATGTTGCAACAGCAACTGCAACTGCAATTGCAGCTTACGCTGTTATGGATTCGTCCGGAGGAGGCGGAGGAAAGAAAAGGGGCGGCGTGAAAGAAAATTGAGGGGGGTTTTCTCCGCTCAGAAGCAACATTGGGAGACCGGACCAACGCAGTTGGTCTTCTTTTGGGCCCAGTATATACACGGTGTAGAAAAATCTAGAAAATTAGGCAACATAGATTTTGGGTGTACGCTACCTTTAATGAGAATGACTCACACATAGAAATGATGGCAAGTTAGTCTAACGCGTTAATGGTACGCCGCCCACCCGCTTGAGGGGATGGGCCGCCGCTGATCAAATTAAGGTCCGCCGCTCGCAAGCTCGGTAGCGAGGGTACGCCGCTTGTCCGCAAGAAAACCACGCCCACAAATCAAAGCTCGCCGCTCGCCCGGAAAGCCATTAAGGTCCGCCGCTCGTCCGAGTTATTGTCTGAGTAGACGCGTAGCCACACTTCAATATCAATATCAGCATCTAATCGAATTTTGAGAAAGTCTATGATACAGCTCAACAGGCACAGGCTCTCACTTGATATAGTTGTATCCGTAGATGACTTCATCAATAATAAATGAAACTGCGCAACAGTTGAATCAAAAATGTAAACAAGAAGCGGCACTACACTTGATACTCATTTAGAAGTTTCGAACAAATACAGATATCTACTTCAATGACACGAAGAACTGTTCTAAAAACAGTCTGGAAAGAAACTCAATCTCAGCGATATCTCCCCGTCGCTGATTTCAAACTTGCAACGCGATATCGCAAATTTCGGCCAAATCGCGGCGATATCGCTGGAATAGGTATGGCCTAGGAAAACACGGTCAGCGATCCGTCGCACCGGACAGCTAGCACGACCGATGTGCATAATTTGCCCGCATGAAATAGAGTGTATGGCAGTTGTCCGATTGCACAAATCGCATTGCGATGATTTTCCTGACGGTATGACCAGGGATTAACACAGTCGACGCGTTTTCAACTTCTGCCGAAACTGCAGCGATTATCGTTGAAGAACTATGCTTTGGCAAAAGATGGTCAGCGACTGGAACAACTAATTCATCCGCTATTTTAAACAATAAGCATGCAATGAGTATGAGTGTGAGCTGTGTTTCGCATAAATTGCGCATGGAACTAAAGCACTGTGTCCCAGGTCTTAAAATGAAAGTAAAAACGGACATAACTTACAGGAGAGCATGATACCCTAAACTTGTTCTCTTTGACCTGGAAACTTTTTTGCTCTTTACGGTTGTATGGCGTTTGGTGTTTTCTAAAATTTTTGACAGAAAGACTCTGCATCCTATAGAGGAGATTTTGATTTGAGTTGATGAGTTGAGTTCGAAGCAGTGCGCTGGTTGGAAAATTCTTCCTTAGTAACCTATGTCACTTCTCTGTCAAGGAGAAATCTGGAGTATAGAAATACTGCTCAGAATTCCACACGTTCGAAGAGAAGTTGTAATTAAAAGTCTTTCTTTAGTCACGCAAAAGCATTGTATTGATGAGAGCTAAGGTGGTAATGGTATGAGTATTTTATGCATTTGCTTTTCAGCCCTCCAAAAAGAAAAAAGAAGAATAAAAATCTTATACCATTACAAAAACACGAGTAAGAGAAATCAATATTTGTATTGTAAAACTGACGTGATGTGTACTCTCAGTTATATTAACCAGCATTTACCAAACTTCGTTGGACATTCCACTGGAGCCATTTTGTGTGGCATAGCCTTCGATTGTGGAGTAGAAGATGGGCTGTACGTTCATTTCGTTTGATCACAAAATGTTATGAAGACTCTTTTTTCTTGGAAATACATTGACTTACATTATTCTGCCTATGTCTTACTTTCTTACCACAAGCGCTGACGTTAGTTTAGTATCAACTGCTTCAGTCACGAAATCTATAGATCGCCGCAAATTCCCGGGCAAGTCTTTGTTAAAAGCCAGTAGGCCAGTATCTATGGAGTGTCCCATGAGATATGCTAGATTTTACATTAAATCTCTTGGTTTAGTCGCTCGTTTCTATGCAATGATGGGCATCAACATGCGAACTGCATGGAAACGAGCGACTAAACCAAGAGAATTAACTTAAAATCTAGCATATCTCATGGGACACTCCGTAGATAACGGCCTACTCAAAATTTATTTCTGTACCATTGAAGTCTGTGCATTTTCATCTTTGCTTTCGATCAAAACAGCATTTTCAAACACAAATACGTTTCTTTTTGCAACTTTGCAACTCGATTTCTCAGATTTTCAGCTGTGGGCAAGGGCGCCACCAGTGTCATTGATATTGTCATGGCAATTTCATGCTGTATCATATTAGCCAAGAAAGACAATTAAAAATCCATATGTCATTTCTTTTCATTCAAAAAAATTGATGAGCGGCATCAGATTTGAACAATATATGTGTAACTAGATGGCGTCCCCGGTCCAGCCCGGGAATTGGGCTACTTGATCTCAACGCGCTAAGACTTACCGTCCTTATCCTGCGACGAAAATGTAATAGGACTTTCTTCCTTGCTAACTTGAAACATCGGACCCTTTTCGCCGAGAAATGTAGGTGAACTTTACCACCCGACTTAGGCCTCGGGCAGAGTTCACGCGATTTGATCGTCGCGATTGATTGAGACAAGACAACTGTAACAATATCATTGCATGCCGTTCTTCTTGCAACTCGGTTGTGATAGTTTTCCAACACGACTAATCGTGACTAACTATCATAACCGAAATACAAAAATCGGCATGCAGTGACACTTGTCTTCTAGCAGTTGAATCGCGACGATCAAATTGCGTGAACTCTGTTCGAGGCCTTACACGACTATGAGGAAATGATCCTACAATGGTTGGCGAACCCTCGGTGTAAGTAAATAAATCAATAAATCGATTGAAGAGCCCAACAAATCGTCGCAATTACAGCCTATCTTTGCGCCTTGCCTTATTTATAGGGGAACAGATTTTAGCCTCATCGTTCACACACAAAAGAGTCTATGAGCCACATTACTAACGAACAAATTTACAGAATTTTCAGTTCTATTTACTAGCTTGTTTCCTATCACGACTGTAGCGAGCAAGCACTGCGGATGGTATGCAACTTTATCATTTACCGGTCTTTTCTTCTGATTCTCAATAAGATATCACACTTGCTGTTATAATTCATGAATTAGTGACTGGAAATGGATGACTGTGCTGTGCACGCGACGCGCTTGCGTTGGGCGCCACTGTCGCGATTTTGTGATAGACTGTAGGCATTGAAAGACCACGACGCGTAAGTCTGTGAGATGGAAACCTATAGAAAATAGCATTTGTTTTGCGTATAACCTAATCCTTACGGAGGGTGGTAGTCTCATCTTTATTCACGCAGCAGCATTGGAAAAAATTACCGCCATCAGATTTCCGGAAAGAGACATCAGCAAGGATCTGACTTTGATTTCTGCCTATTTATATAATTACAATAAGGTTCCATTTTCAGTCAAGTTTTCACTTTCAATATACGGTGGATTGATAGCTCAACATCCGCAGCAGAAAAATGGAGATTTATCAAAAATGCGGCGACTAATCAGAGTGGTGTGAGCGGTATGCCAATCTTTTTCAACAACAATGTTAGAACCTGCGAATCCAAACGGCCAAGACAGATTGAAAATTCGAAATTGTCGCTTTTCAGAGTCATGTTTTTGTGCCAAATTTGATTTCTTAGTAAATCGCTTGTGACAAGTTGAAAATCACTAGCTAAACTTCCAAATAATTATACTATTATTAGTTGGCTTTTCCGGTCCAGCCCGGGCCATTGTTCTCCTGCACTGCAAACCCCCTCCCTCATACATGTTATGGATGACTTGCCCTGGGACTTCCGCTTCGAAATCGCATGCTCGTGATCCTGAGGTGAAAATGAGCTTCACCATTCTTCTTTACATGATTATGCGAAACTGCTTGATAAAACATGATAAGCCTTCAGTTCCTCAGAAAAATGTAAACAAATCAATAAATCGATAAGAGGACCTAGCGAATTTTAGTAAAAAGTATCATAAAACCGTCTCCGGGGTCAAGAACATCTGTATGCAAAAACAAAGAGATAAGTCCACAATGAGAAAGAACATTTCAAGAATCTCAAAACATCCGAAAGGTAACTACTGTTTTTTACACGACCGGTTTCGGGCCTAAGAACTAGACCGGTAGTGTAGCTTTCTTGGTGCCCCATCATCAGTAGTTCCCAAGAAAGCTTCAAAAGGTATTCATAAACATGATTACTAAAGAGTGGTAACGAGCCAGAAACAATTATGAGAGTTAGCCAATTTAACAAAATATAACAGACAGAGGATGGCGAACATGAGCACAAAGAGGGTGATAGACACGATGGCATGCATCAACTCAATTTGAATGTGACCTTGCTATTCCGGCGCGTTATCTTTAGTCCACAATTCTTGTAGGTCATGTATCAAAGGGAGATGAATAGCCGTAGGAAAACCATACTTACGTAAAATGAATGGCCTGTCATGTAAGGTATGGTATACGATATTTATGAAGTAACTACCTTCCCATCCATTATTTTTGGATATCTTACCTAGATCTATTACTCTTTCCTCAAACTCTAGATAGCCAGAACAGTTTCTATAAATTCTAAGTACTTCTGAAGTAAAAGTATTTATTAGTATGTATCTAGGTATGTTAGATTTCCAGTGAGGATACCTAATAACTCTAAAATCATAGCTATCTGTTTTATTGTACAAACTAAACTTAACATTATTCCGGTTGCTAGTATCTATAGTTAAGTCTAAAAAGTTTGTAACTTTGTTATTAATGTTTGTTTTTTCAATCTCCAATGAACTGGGGTAGATATCGGATATGTGTCTCTCAAATTCCGATGCATCTTTTGATACATGTAGTATATCGTCTATATATCTAAATGTGTAATTGAACATGTATTCTCTATGGTTATCGGGTGTGTTCACCAGTCTTCTTATAAATTCATATTCCATATAGGCTAGTGTTAAATCTGCAATTTGTGGGCTGCATGAGGCTCCTTGGGGAATACCTCTTACTTGTTTATAGACTATACCCCCAAAGCACAGATAACTTGAATTTAACAGCGAATCTATCATGTAGGGAACGTCTTCTTTTTGAAAAATCTTGCCATGTGCTGTGTGTGTATTGGTATATGAGACTTTACCACCGTATATTCGAATGTATTTGAAATCCTTCATGCACATGAGCTTGGTGAGATTTTGTCTAACAATGTCGTGTGGTAAACTAGTAAACAGACTTGAAAAATCTGCTGAGTATAAGTTCAAGTCTCCTTTAGCTGTCATCAAGTCCTTCACCACCTGTCTACTGTTTTCTATAGCCCATGAGTGTTTTGTACGTGCTCTCTGCCAGATTACATTGCAGTAGTTATTGAAGTGCTTTTTTAGATGTGTTAGTATCAGCTGAAGAGTAGTGGTAAGAGGTTTCAAAGAACTTTTTCTAGCTCCTGTTATGTATCTAAACTTAATGGGATTTTTATGCATTTTCGGGATTCCATAAATTCTAGGTATCTCCTTAAATTTGTCTTCGAACTTGATGTTCAATCCATTAAGTATACTTCTATGCCTATTCAGAATATTTTCTTCTATTAACGAAGTGTTTTCGCACGTGCTCCCTTCTGTATTAGTTTGTTCCATTTCTCTTTTCATCATCTGTACGTAAAACTTTTTGCATGTAAAACTAAAATCAGCACTTGCTTTATCTATGGGGGTTATAATGAAGTGTTTCTGTATTTTTCGTAGTTCTTCTATGTCAAACTGATCTTCTTCTATCTCTTCCTTATCGAACATATTGTAACATATAAAGGTTTAGCCCGATCGGTTGAGCGGCGGGCGTTTCTATAGCTCACATACCCTTCAAAGAGACAATTTTTGAGCTTTATATATAGAAATATAAACCCTATGTACGCAGCACACTCTTGCGCTGGGAAAGGTGGCGATTGAAAAGTACTATGAGACAGAAAAGTATTCAACCCCTTTACATTACAAGCATGCTTTTCGTAAGTCTTACATTATCGAGGTAAGCACATTGCATGAGATCAGAAATTCCATAAGGTACGACTCTGTTGTTCATGCGATATGCCTCGGGAGAGACGCAGAACTACACCTGCTGGGTTATTGTTACAAAATCTATCACTATTTGCGCCGATGCTGTTTGCTCACATCCAACAACATAATTTTACTCGTTGAAAATGAAGTGTTATGACGAATTGACGGCAGAGAAAGAATCAGCCTCAAATGCCCAGATGAGAGGTACCAAGGCTTGGCGAGAGCGAGGTTTTGCGTCACGACTAGGGCTAACTAACTTGTCTGCTCTCTCCTCGGTCTCTTCGCTCTTTCCGATAACACGCATGCAGCGACACGTGCAGCACAAGCCCCTACCGCTACGAGCGCGCAATTTTAGCCAACGGTTCCGCCTGATTCCGTTTGGGGCGGTTTGCGGCAATTGCTCGCGCATTAATCTTTTCCGTCTCTTTCTCCTCTAAAACGCTTTTCTGCTATCAGTTGCCAGCTTTCACCTACCTGAATCGAATTGAAAGGTACGAGGTTGTCTAGTGGTTTGAGGCCTTGCGGCATCCTGCAGCGCAATGGCTGCAATTTTATCGACTCCAGCCAGGGCCCGGCACAGATCGTCTAGAAGCAGGCTGGACTTCGTTTTTGGAGCAAAAAGCAAAGGGGATCTCGTTTTTGACGAGTCGGAACCGAACACCAAGAATAAGCGCCGTTTAGTCGAATAGAAGCTTTTCGGACAGGTTATGACACGGTTGACATGCTCTATCGTGTTTGGCGAAAAGTGCGCGCGATTTGAAAGCAGGGCTAAAATCAACAAATTGCTTGTTTACAGCGCACACAGAATCATATGACACCAAAATTGAACTGTGTGTATAGAAAATTATTTGCGGAAGAACTATGTAAAAATATTTGAAAACTTATGTGAAGAAATACGTTTTCCAAAATTAGATCGTCTCCAGACGGTCACCAGACGATCTGAGATCGTCTGGAGCATATATTTTCGTCACTTTACATAAGTTTCGGATCTTTCCAGCATGGACGAATGCCCCGGTCAAAAATCTATCCCTGAGCAAAAAAAAATTTCTATATTACCCCCTGTCCGTCCTTTTTTATCCCCTTTTTTTGAAAAGCGCCATGTTAGTTGTCGTGCTCCACCGCCCATTCCGCGTTGCGGTGAGCGAAATTTTTATCGCTTGGTCGCTTTGCTGCAAACACTGTTTCCTTCGTCTTTTCTTGTTGTTCTACTTTCGTTCGTACTCGTTCTTGGTTCTTCGTTCTTATCGATGTAAGATATGTTGCACTTATGCTATTTCGAACAATACTAATTATCGGTTTCAGGCTCTAACTTCACCATGTGTCGGCTGCGAGATTATACCGATTACCTACTATTGGGGAGTCGGTGTCAATGACTTCGATTTCTACTTCGATGCACATGCGTATCCTGATGAGAAAGAGTTTGGATATTAGGAACTGCCTGGTTTCTTGGGAAATCCGCTTTAAAGGAACCTAAGGCTTCCCTCAACATCGATTACGACAAGACGTGAGTGGTTTTTCAGTTATTTTGTTCTTCTTCATTTTGAAGGTTCACGTTTCTTTTCTAAACTTTGACTAATTTTGGGATTCTTTAGAGTCACTGTTCGCAAATTTTCGTTGATGGTATTGTACAAACATCTCATGGGATGACAGAATAAACTTGATGCTCAAGTGGAGAGCTATCGTTGATAGGTAAGGTCTTTTTACTTGTTCTCATCAGTTTATTAACTTCTCACATTCCATGAAACTCCGTTGCAGATATTCAAACCTCAATCCCAGTGTCTGGAACGTCAGCGCAATGTTTGCAGATCAAATGCTCAGCTTGAAAAAGTTAAACTGGCCTATCAATGATAGGTTGGTCAACATTTTCAAGCCATAAAGTTCTTTCTGCAAACTTCGCAATGATAAATTCATTAACTCACCTTATGGCGAATTCTTCTCATTGCAGACATGTATGTGGACGCTATTCTGTATGGCAATCAAAAACGCATACTATGAGTGGTGATTTTACGGGTGAGAACCAGGTGAGCTTTACTCTCGGTATCCATTTGAGATAATTTTACGATTGTTTTTTTTTCAAGAAGTGTGCTAGTGGAATTTATGCCATGACTGCAGCGACGTATTCAAAATGCAACACTCACAGCAGTACAAGAAGCTGAAATTCAGCTTCTGAATCTTTCTGTCAGCTGCAGCTTCTTTGAGATTTATGGCGGAAAGGTTGGTCTGCTTTTCCCAAAGACCTGAGAGCCCTGCTTTGCCTATAAGCTGCCATTGCAGGTGTTCGACCTTCTGAAGCAAAAAGCTTTATTGCGAGTTCTTGAAGATGGCAAAAAAGAAGTACAAGTTGTTGGACTGAAAGAGGTTCCTGTTAAGTGCGAAAACGATGTGAGTTCTACTTTGATTGTTTTTTTTTTTGAAAATCTTTCTTAACTCACTGAACTTGAACAGCTTCTTTATCACCACATTGTGCTTAGGTTCTTGATCTGATCCGGCAGGGCACGGATATGCGCACTGCAGGAGCAACATCTGCAAATTCCAATTCGAGCAGATCCCATGCCGTCTTTCAAATAGTTTCGAGGAGGTATGGTTACGCAAATCAGCTGTAGTTACCCCTTATTTACACATTTTTAGGGGCAATAAATTATGGGGAAAGTTTTCGCTGATAGATTTAGCGGGTAACCAACGTGGTTAGGATACCGGTAATTTTGATAGACAAACCCGAATGGAAGGTGCAGAAATCAAAAAGTCGCTGCTTCCTTTGAAGGTAAAGTACCTACATCATGTTGTTGCAAAGACGTTGTGATTTGATTTTCGTACTTCTGTTTTTATTACTATCTATTATTGTTTTAGGAATGTATTGGAGCCAAGAATAGCCAACATGTGCCATTCCGAACCTCTAAGCTAACATTGGTGTTACGAGATTCGTTTATTGAAGAAAAAGCGCGCACTTGTATGGTAAGTGCATTCTACTTTTACTCAATTGGGAAAGTTGAGGCCTTGCGAATTAATTGTTTTTCTCAAGATTGCCACGATTAGTCCGGGTATGGTATAGGATGCTGATATTTCGCTTGTTTGGAGTAGAAATGTTAGTTGTAGATGGATTGTATGGTATATGAACCGATAAAACATTTGACATGATGAAAATCGTATCGAGTCTCACAGCTGCTGAAGAAGAAGCCCTTTATAGCCCTTTATAGAAAGAACTGAGCAATTTGATTACTCGTTCAGGCACTGTGGATTACGGTCAGGGAAAATACGTGCGCGACGCTGTTAATTTCAGCAATAAGATGTTCTTCGGACTGTCGGAAAGCACGGGCAAGTATTTTTGTGGCTGGAAGCCTTTTTTTCAAGTGAGTCTATCCTATTCTGCTGGTTTTTCTGGAGAATTCTTGAGATATAATCACTACTTAGAGATAATACTTTTGAATATCGATGATTTCTCAAAAAAAATACTTAGCTGGATCTTTTCGTTTTTTTTCTCCAGATCGACTAAAGAAATGGCAAGAGCTACAAGTGGCAGAAGCAGAGATCCAAAAAGCAACAAGAAATAAAAATCTCCATCGTTAGCGCTTATCAAGTCCATATCCTCTCATAACTTTCGAATGCCTTGTTTGTGCTCGTTTGAGATCTTCCTTATGTACACTTCATCTAGCTTATATTACGCGTTTTTCATGCTTTGTCGGATTGATTGTGAAACTTCCGCTACTTTACATTCTGTGTTATAGTAATCCTATACTAACTGATGTGCAAAAAGATTGGTTTTAAGAAATGCTTTTCCAACGGTATTCATTGTGCATCTTCCAAACCTGAATGGGGGGCGTAACCTTCTCTATTCTAATTTTATACTAATTTCTGTCACGCATGTAGCATCAACTATCGTATGGCTTTCACAATTTGAAGTTTTCCAATAATTTATTGTAGCTTTGATTGTTGCCTCCTGTTTGGCAGATTCCTCGTGGACATGTGCCACTTATCATGCTGTTTTGAGGGAATTCTGCCAATAAAGTTGGTAGGTGCTGACTATCAATTGTTTCAAATAATGGTTTGTCGAGGAAGTCATCTTGTAGATTTTATATGGATAAATCGCACCTTATTTTCTGATTCTGCTTCGGTCTTTGAACAGTAATGCCAAAGAAGTAAACGACATAACAAACGATCTATAAATTTTTGTGCGAAGCAATTTTTTTTTCTTAGCAATGCATTCAACAGACATAGAGCGTTAAGTGATCTTACTGCTTGCAATGGCATTGATAAATAGGCGCTATAGGAGAAGCAGAGCGCCCTCCAGGTATATACGAATGTTTCCGATTTTGAAAAGTGAAGAGGTTAACTGAATTGCAAAAGACGTTAGCTTACATTTCGAACGGAACGAGGCGTGAATGGAGGACAAAAGTGGTACAGAGATTTGATGTGGAAAATTTTGCAATACGGCACCAGAGGTCGTCGAACAGAGTGTTTCGATGCGGGTAGCCTTTATGTCCCACCAGACAATAACACAATCGGAGTGGAACGTATATAATCGACGGGAGTGTCGATAGACTGTCTCTTTTTTGACATTCTCAAAATTCACAGGCAAGAATGTTCATCTAGCTGCAACATCAGCTAATTGAAAGGAAGATAAAAGGTGAAAAAAGAATCGGTCTACGTCTACTGGCAAAGTCTTTTCTTTGAAACAGTTTGACAGTTAGGCAATCTTATTCATTTTTCGGAATCTCCTGCAAGAACATGCATCTTTTCAAATAAAATACCATATCCCTGATAAGAGCGGTGCTTGATCGTTCCTTGAGCTTTCTGACGGTGTATAGGTTGTCAAACGAAGTTGAGTGTCAGTGTAACGAAGATTGTCAAAGATTATAGTTTGTCAGACGAACTCTTGTTTGCTTCTCGGTGGAAGGTTGGGGGGGGGGGGTAGGGGCAAGGGTCAAAGGGGACTTCGTAAAATTTTCGGAAGTCGGGGGGGACTTCGTTTTCAAAAAGCTTAGAAACGGACTCGTGCCGGGCCCTGACTCCAGCCACGCAGAGCCTTAAATGTAATTGCACTACACAGAGCTGCTTCCGTTACATAGATTGTAGCTTGAAGTAAATTTTCTTGTGCAGTGAGTTTCGACCCGCTTTAGGCAAAAATTGGATTGGCGGGCGTCCGCCTCGCAACAGTTCGCGCCGTTTCGCAGCTATAGTATATCATATCACGCTAAGAACTCAAGTCTGCGTCTCTTCATTCTCCTCAGTCTTTGCTTGGGAAAACGCCAGCGTTATGCGCTCGCGAAGCCTCCTGCGTTATGCGCACGCGCTGCTCCACCTAGAATGTTTCGCCTAATCCGGGATGAAACCTACTGTATGCCGACAACTCGATTATGTTTAAGTCATACACGATTCTCTTAGTTCTCAACTGTTATAATGCCTCAAAACACTTTTTATTTATTTTAATCAAATTCCCCTGAAGCAAGAGTAACAGAAGCGACATGAGGCTGACGCCGAATATCATAAGATTTTCGTTTCTCAAACCTATTGAAAATTTCATCGCAGCTTAAACATCACGCACCTCATCTCTTTTTTGGACAGAGACGCAAGCTCAAAACTTTTTACAGGCGAATGCTCCAAAGCTGCTGTTCAAAGATTTTTTTCAAACTGAAAATAGAATGGTATAATAGTTAGCATTAACTGAATGTATGTTTCCTCTTTCGATGATTTCAGCCCAATCGAGTGCATCAAATTTCTCAACACTCATGATTTGACCACTTACCGAGCTTTTTCTCTTTTTATCGTTCTCATTGAAACCTAACACCATGTGCACAAGCGCTTCTGTTGATCACAAATATTTCTCTTGATAGCTTCTCTGACCAACTTACTGCCATGTGGTGGTGAATGCAACGGGTTGATTGATCACCGCCGAATGTCGCAGTATTCTGATTCTTCCGGATTCCTATGCGGGCTATGTCAGCAAATGCCATCGTTAGCAGACATTAATGGTGAGTTTACCATTGTCTGTATAAGACTAATAAGAGTTTGTGTTGTAGAATCCAGTGAAATTAATGAGTCCACTAATGCGCTCAACACCAGATACAGGTATATCAATCCAAAACCCTGTTGCGGTCAACCTCCACTTTTCAGCATTCATAAGCGAAAAGTCCCTCTTCCTCCTGTCACGACCAATTACACACCTCAAAATGCGAGAGAGTCGTATTACGGTCCTAAAACAAGTTTTAAGGTGAAATAGCTTTTGAAATATGCTCAAATAATTGTCTTCTTTCAAGAACAGGGATGCTCCGCTTGAAACAACAGTTACACAACTTCTCCAAGTTCGCATTTTTGTACTTGAAAAGGTATTAGTGTTTTTAGGTTGTCAGCATATTCTTAAAAAGTTGTGTTTAGTTCGATCGCAAAATTGTACGCAGTAAAGTAACGTGCGAAGTACCGTCCCATTTCAAACTTGGTTACATACTGGAAGCTGTGGAAGATAAAATGTATGATAGTTATATGCTTTGCGTGGTTTTCTCTTTTATTTTCAGACCAAAGGTTATGCACATGTATTAATCAATCAATCCCCAAATTCAAAGCTGCAATTTTATTGAAAACTTGTGTTGAATCAGGAGCAAACATAAAACCTTCACTGAGCGATTGCATTACCGTCCAATTCTGGACGGGTTCTTTCATCACGAGCGATCACGAGCGAGTGTGCATAAGCATCTTTGCCTTTTCTAAGAAAGCAAGGTTTTGGAAGAATCATTGAGATTTTGGATTTTTTTTGCGCCCGCACTGGACCAAGCTCATTTGTTTTCAAAGGATTTGTGAATGAACTAGATAACTAATATCCAGCTTCGCTCGGTCTCTATCAACATGATATGATAAGGCTCACCATTCTATCCCAGTTTCACAACATTTGCTTCTCGATGTCTCCGTAATGCTGAGGAAAATCGTTTAAGGGTTCCTTCATACTACGCCGCGTACGCCGCGCACGCCGCGTACGCCGCTGCAGCGCAATGGAAATAATATGAAGAAGAGAAATCCTTTTCATCCAGTGATGTGTTTGTAACACATACAACCAACACAACATATGATCGTCTCCACGATTCGTGTAGACGTGTATTGCAGACTTTGCCTGATAACACAGGTAAACTTGTTAAACCTCCACGTCATACCATTGTTTTTGTACTCTCTCGCTATCAAAAACCGCCACGCTTTGAGTTGGCAAAACCCCGCCTCTACACGAATCGTGGAGCCGATGATACAACATACCTACTTACAACATACGACCATACATACACAATATACTTACAACATACAACCGTACAACCACATAATACCGATATACAACCAGATGGCGCAATGTGCAGTCAGTTGAGATACGAAATGTGAAACTCAAAAGTAGAGGGAGCACAACAACCTAAGTCATTCCATCAATCATTGATATAGACAAAGGACAGACAGGATAAACAAAGCAAAAGAGAAAAAGAAATGCATAATGTGAAGGAACACTATTGAGGGACACGAATGTGCGGCAAATATAGAGATACATAAAAAAATAGAGCTCTGCTGCCGTGAGCATATTTCCATTGCGCTGCAGCGGCGTACGCTGCGTGCGCGGCGTACGCAGCGTAGGTGGCGTAAGTGGCGTAAGCGGTGTAGTATGAAGGAACCCTAAGGGTTGGGCCAGACTACGCGGCGTACGCGACGTACGCAGCGTACGCCGCGTATGCTCCTGTGATGAAATATACCAAGCGTACGCTGCGTACGCCGCGTACGCCGCTTCCCCGCGAAGTCTGGCTCAACCCTAAGAGCGCGAAAACGACGAAAACGAGCGTTTCTCACGGCCTTGCAATTTGAATTTGGACCGGTGCCCGCCAAGACTGAAAACAGAGTCGTTGTTAAATCCTACAACTTAAAATGTGGCGGCATGCGTACTCTGCCGCAAAGCGATCCACAGGTGGGCTTATACCAGTCTCACCAACTTCTCGATCGTACTTGCTTCAACCAAACGTTATGGCCTCGCACTTGCGCGCCGTGCCAGAGGGGCACCTTCCTGCATGGCACTGAAATGTCAAAACTCCCGCCTCGCCCGAAAAATGATAAAGCAATCCCTGACCTTGTGTTGACTCCCACCTCTGTAGCTCAAAATTTGCAAAAATCGATAAAACCGATAAAGATAATCAACAACTCCGAAAATAATATTGTATTCATAAGTGCTCAATAACCACCCTCTCCTCTGCCAACATCCATCCCTATTCTGCAAAAAATCGATAGAAATTATCGATCAGTAGCGAAGAGTATAGGCTGTACCAACCAGCATCGGTTCCGCGCTGTTATGCCTTGCGAGAACGTACGGCCGCATGCGATGTGCACTCGCGCGTAATGGAGTTCGCACGCGTCACACGCATCGTCGCAAGCTGCCGCAGGCGCGACGTCGCATGACCGATGCTGGTTGGTACAGCCTATAGTCCACTCTCAGAATAATATGCGATATATAAATTATGGTATAATGATGATATAAGAGTATTATGCGTCCGCTATCAAGATCTTACCACTGCCAAAGCTGTACTTCTTAAGCCTTTGTTCTCAGACTATATGAAATGCAAAAAATCATATATCAAAATCATATATCGATCTCCAGCGACCTTTTCGAAATACTCGGTGCATCAATGCCTTAGCAAAATTGTTAATTCGTCTACGAAACAAGCCTGATCGTCCGCCTGACTTAAAATGATTACTGAAAAAAAATTGCAACACCTTTATGCAAATCATGTTGAAGGCAGCGTACACCCAAGATTTCGTCTTCGATGTTTTTGTCATTCTGGGCCTTTCCTTGCCCCTGATTACAATTATGACATTAAAATTTTTCAAAATCCTCCAAAAAATCCCGAATCCCGGGAACCCTCTCTTCAGAGTGAGGACGAGTTTTGAATTGCTCGATCCTGTCGTTGCCAGCGAAGAGCAGCTGCAACGGCATGACAGCCTGCAGTTGCAACTGCAGGCTGTCATGCCGTTGCAGCGTATGCTTTCGTGGATCCTTTGAAGGCAGCGTACACCCAAAATTCAAGTCACCCAGTTCTCTATACCATGTTTATATAGGGCCCAGAAGAAGACCAATTGCGTTGGTTCGGTCTCCCAATGTTGCTTCTAAGCGAAGGAAACCGCCTAATTCTTTTTGCGCTCCGCCCCTTTCTTTTCGGTCCGCTTCCTTCGGACGACGAATCCGACAGGTGCAACTGCAGGCCGCTCGCTGGTATGCCGACGGGGTCGAGCAATTCGACTCGTCCTCCCTCTGAAGAAAAGGTGCCTGGGAACGGGGTTTTTTGTGGTTTTGGAGAATTTTAATGTCATAACTGTAGTCAGGGGCACGGAAAGGCCCCAGAATGGCAAAAATATCGAAGCCGAAATTTTGAGTGTACGCTACCTTCAGGCACACGAAATTCTGTGCAGCATATTGGTTGCATTACCAGCATTATCATGAGTTTGATAAAGCGCTAACGTCTGTCTTTTTGTGTGCGTCTGACGTCTGTCATGAAATTCAGACAGCAGCTTGCAGACAGCCTCCAGCGCCGAATTTTCGCATGGCACACTCTACCAGCATGTACGTCCACTACGCGAGGATGAGCTGGTCCAGTACGAGGATCCTTCGAAAAATGTGCGTCATATGGGTCCATGCGGCTTTTGGCCCACGAAACTGCGTCTGTACCCAAACTTCTCGCCAGGGCATGGAATTATCTGACAAGCAATTCTTTGAGCTATAGACTTTGTCAAAACCAATAAAAAGGTCGATATTTTCGCGAAAAACGGCGCCAAAAAAGATTGCTTACAATTAGATCGCCTTTTGTCACGTTTCACCAGAGGAATTGAGAGGATTTTCAATTGGAGATGTAGCCCAAATAACTATTGTGGTTTTAGTAACTGATCTAAGCTCGCATTTGCTTCTCTGCAAAGAAGTTTATTGCTCTCAAAGTTACCGCTTCTAAAGAAGGCCTTGGAAATAAGTGTCGCTTGCAGGCTTTTTTTGTAATAAGTCATGATGCTCAGCGTAACGCGCTGAGTTTAGAAGTGGTTATCATGCGAGCGTGAGGGAGGTATAGGGATAGTAGAACCGGTACGAACGTCTGCGAAGCAGGGGCGTTGCACTGGTATACTATTAGGTTGTCGGATAATTTCTGTCACACTTTTTATTTGATTTCTTAAAAATCTCAGAAGCTTTGGAAAAATCTCATGTTCACGGCTTATGGGCAAGGTCAAAAGACCTATACAATGGTACCGTCGCATCCGCGATCCGTGCGCAAAACACCCACTTTGTGGCTGAAAATCCGTTTCTTCCCATTTCTGTAAATGAGCTGGCGTTCTCTTAGGTGATGACCGATAGACCGGACAATGTGGTAATCAGGTAGGGCATAGTCTGTAGCGTTTAGCTAATATGGGGGATAGCGCAGACATGTCTGCACACGTTTTTCTAAGCGGTCCAAATCTCAGTGGGCGCCATCTTTGCAATCATCGGAATTTCTACGAAGAAAACGTCTTCAAAAAATTTCAAAAAAAATCATTTTTATGCTTTCTGTATTCATTTCTATACGATGTACATAAAAAGAAGAATTTAGGAAAGTTTTTGTATTTTTTTAATATTTTCACCCTCCGCTTTTGAAACGCTAGAGGCACCGGAATGCCTCCATGTAAGATACAATGCCAAAATACGTTCTAAAATATTGTGGAAGAGGGAAAGCGCAAGTAGGTGCACAGAAAAATATCGGACAAAAACTGAAAATGACTGCTTTTACAAAACTGCCGTAAACTTGTTGGTCATTATGCACTTGCGGCATCAATCATGTTGTTAGGTAGATCCTGCTATGTCCCAAGCGTACTGCAAATTTGGGGTTTTCAGAAAGCTTCTGGGATTTCCAAGAAATCTTAGAAAAAAAGTGTAACAGAAATCATCCGCCAACCTAATATAATATACGAGAAATGTTGTTCATTTAAGCCAAGATCTTGATGGAGTTCAAATCTACTACACGACCGGGTCTACTAGAAAGAGAAATCACCTGGTAAGCAAGATTTCACTGTCAATCAATGCAGGAATAAATTAAGGTGGTACGATGATTAGCGTTTCAGATTCCAATCACAATCACTCCAAACGACGGAAGAGCTTTTGACAGCATTAGAAATAATCGCGGTGTTGTTAACTTTGTCATCGCTGCGAAAGGTGTGCGAGTGCTCGGAGACAAAATGAATCGACGCATCGCATAGCTAGCAACATAAATGGTACTTTTCCGCAGATTTGGAGATTCTGTTGTCATAATATCATACTAGTCATTAGCATTGATAAAATACTTTCTAAACATCAGGAAAATCCTTTGTGAGTTTCGAGGTTGTAAGCTAGGCATTGTACTCATCTAACGTACTTAAGTGAAGCTTGAGGTGCACAAGTAACGACAACAGCCCCTTTCTTCGCGCCTTCTTGCGTAGCTTCTCTAGATTATTGTAAATGGAAATGTGAATGATGACAAACCGCAGTGTAAGCAGATGTGAGATGGCCTTGCAAGTCAAACAAAATAACACTAGAATATGGGCATTAAAATTATAACAAAATTGGTTGAGCCATCGAGAAAAAATAACATTGCTGAGACATTAAAAAAAACGTTTTTGAAATACCCAAAACGGCTGCCGAGTCCTTAGATCATGGTCATCTTATTCATCACTGGCTGGCATTCTTAACTTCGCTCAGTGGGTTTCGACATAATATTAGGTTGTCCCGAAAATTTTGTCCGTTTTTTCAAACTACTATAAAACCACGCACAATGAAGACCTAAATGAGTTTACATGCATTCAATGCATCTTTTCCTTCTCTTTCTTACGATGCATTCGCAAACCACAATCTTATATGCTTTTTTGGTAATTGCCAAAATTCTCCACCCGTCAATTCTACCTGCTCAAAGTTAGGGCAATTTTCAAAAGTTTCATTCCAATCGGAAAGGGCTAAGTGTGTTTCAAACAGAGCAATTCTCGGACCACAAGTTGAATTTTTTGAATTCTCCTAATCTGCTGTTTGTACCTTGAAAAAACTATTTTTTCAGAGGTCTCAATTTTTGGCAATGTCATGAAACACGCAACTGCAGGAACTACGCAAAATCGTTTGTAGTTCCTACGAATTAAAACATGATTTTTTTATTAACAGTACTATGCAACATACCCATGTTAAATTGCTTTGAAAAGAGTTTTTTTACGGAATTTTAGGACTTTTAATGGTAATAATCGTAAGGCCGTGGTTTTTATTGAAATAATTATAATGGACTCAGTAACTTGGTCCATGTGATCTAAAACAGGAACAATGTAGCCAGAGGTTTGCTCTACATAAACTTACCAGCGCTCTTTGAAAACATCAAGATAAAAATTTCTAAAATTCAGGAAAGATTTGGCATTACTGCTGAGCTGCTAAAAAAGACCATGGCGATAACAAAGACAAGACAAAGACGTAGATCAAAGAGCAAGTGTAGCTTTGAGAAAAAGGATAAAAATCTGAATCTAATGGTGCCTAAGCCGTCCGTGGATTCACGTTCTGGGATCTTTAGTGAACGATGAAACAAACGGACAAAATTTTCGGGATAACCTAATATGATACGACTCACCATTCGTCGTAATCTCCCATCTCCGTCCCACTTATGCACCCTAATTTCCTCAGCCTTTTTGCATTTGTGATTTGTAATCCTGATTTACAGAAAACCATGTAGATAAGTTGGCAGAAAATGAAAATTGCTGAACTAACTAAAATGACTTCAAGATTTATTTATTTGGGCAGTGATCGAAGAGGTGATTTAGAACCTATCAAAGAAGTTGATTTCTTATGTCAATACAAAAGTACCCTCTAAATCATCATCGGTCAGTAACAAAACGACGACTTCTACGGTTCAAACACGGCACACCTGGAGCCACTCACGAAGAGCTAAACATGTATCAATCACTAGTAAGCAAAAGCTACAAAATACAGAACCCTCTGGTAGCGAAAAGTGTCATTGGGACTTGCATATCCAGGCTTTATTCATTCTATAGGCAAGAATTTTACGAAAAGTTTTCGTCGCCAACGGCAAAAAAAAACAGGTTGAGACAAGGATTGGTACGAGGTGGGGAAATGTCAAGCTGGAGATCGTTTCGGGTAAAAAAGCAAAGGAATACCGTTTTCGCGGAGTCCGGGGCGAAGCCCTGGAAATGGTTTTAAGTGCTAACAAAAGGAAATCGAGTCGTGCTTATCAGTTCAGCAATTCTTCAAAAAGTGATTTTTATACCTCACCGTACAACAGGGTTCTCGCAATCATATCACGTCATCGCTAATCGCAAGCGCGACGTCGCCTGACCGATGCCCTTTAAAGCCTCTGGCAGAGTTGAGCGATTTGGTCGTCGCGATTCAATCGCTACAAGACAAGTGCTACGAGTTCATTGCATGCGGATCTTCTTGCATTTCGGTTGTGATAGTTCTCCAACACGACTAATCGTGACTAACTCTCACGACCGAGATGCAAGATGATAGGCATGCAATAGACTCGCAAGTTTATCTTGTTAAAAGAACCCGGCAATGAAATCGCGTGAACTCTGTCCGAGGCCTAAACACCTGTATGGCTAAATCTCCTGCATGCGTAACGGTATGGCACCAAACTGCATAAGTAAACGACGGATATAGGTTAGTGGGAACAGGTTGTAAAAGATTATGAAAATTTGTGTGAATAAGGTGTACTAGCAAGGGACGCTCCCGTTTAGTCGAAGTGGCCTCTTCGAATGGGACTACCATGTTCAAAGGCATAAAACGCTGATTTCAAACTGCCTTCCTTGTCTGCAGAACGTTTATGGACGACGAGTTATAAGCGTTTTTGGAGCGAAAGATTGAATGTCCATTTAATAAAATGAGTTGCTATTTTTCAATTAAGACTATTTTTTTGAATAAAGTGCCCTAATGATTATCACCGCTCATCGAAGAGCCAGAAAGGATTTACGGCCAATTTTGTCCTACTTGCACAATGGTTTTTTCCTCCAATACCGCTCATAACTACTCGTCCATAAACATTCTGCAGATAAGGAAGACAAATAAAGAAGCATATTATGCTTTTCAACATGATATGAATCACATTTGCAATACCACATCGACTAAACATGCTTCCCTTGTAAGCTTTATTCCAAAATTTCCCGTTACTGGCGAAAAAAGATATGAGTTAAAGTGACTAGTTTGCAAAGCCACATGTGACGATATGACGCGAAACTCGATACTTGACAGGATGTCCAGGAGCTGCTGAGAAGTCGTACGTAAAAACTGAAGGTTGTGCCAAGTTTATTCTAAAAGTTTGACACTACTAAAAATGGGAAAATGGCTTTGCAACGCAGATGACGATATGGACGAAATGATTCAAGACTAGGGGACAAAGTATGGAAAACTATGAAAAATCTTGGAAAAGTGCATGCGCCACTTTTACCGAGTTAGGTGGGCTGCCTACCTATCGCCCACCGGTAGGCAAAACTTTCACTTCACATAAGTTTTCAAACTTGCTACTTGAATCTGCTCTACACCACAATTTTACCGTATAGTAACATTTCGGTTCGAAAACTTCTCCTCTTCTTCTTACTACTCAGACTTTCGTTGCGTACCAGCGGCGTACCTAAATGGCTTTGCGTACCAGCGGAGTGCGATTAACGTACCAACGGCGTTCCTTAAAGGCAGCGTCCAGGCAGATCTGGACTTATGGGGCTTTTACGTGGAAAGTACTTTTGGGGCCCTAACTAAGGCACTGCCCAAGCGGCAGCTCAAGTAGTGCTCTAATGGCTGAGATATTCTCCTCGAAACTGGCCCCCGCGAACGTATTCGCATGGATTCATGGCAGTGTCGCGCCAGGATCCACGCTTTGCGCCATGAATCCATGCGAAACACGGTCGCGGGGTCCACTTTCGAGGGGAATATCTCAGCCATTGCAGCACTACCTGAGCTGCCGCTTGGGGAGTGCCTTAGTTAGGGCCCCAAAAGTACTTTCCACGTAAAAGCCCCATAGGTCCAGATCTGCCTGGACGCTGCCTTTAATGCGCCCTACCAGCGGCGTACCGTCTTTTGGCGAGCGGCGTTCCATCAACCCAAGCAAGCGAGCGGCGTCCCATCACATTACCCCACGTAAGCGTAAGCCGTACCCGTATGGGATACGACGCAGTGGTTGGGCCGCCTCAGCATTTTAGTGGTTAGCTAACACTCTCGGCACTTGACAAAGGAATAAGACTGAGTTGTTGTTCTTATTGAGTGACCTGATAACACCTCAGCTGCTCAGATAATCGCCGGGGGCAGGCGGTCCGCAAACTCGCGCTTTTCTGCAGGCGGTCAGCAGGATTTCGGGGCGTGGCCAAATCTTCAGCGGGCGGTATTTGCGTTTTCTGCAAGCGGGCATCAATACAAAATTTTCTGCAAGCGCTCGTCAAACAATCTCTTTCAGCGAGCGCTGGCCAAACTTTCAGCAGGCGCTCAGACTCTTTTTACGCAGTTTCGGGCGTACGCCGAGAAAAGATGGGACTCTATGTGGCAGAGGTGCCATCTTGGTTTTATTACCCAAGTTTGGGGTACTTTCTTCCAGCGCAAAGTACCTGAGGGCTGTGCGGTCCTTCAAAAAGGACCGTGCGGCTCTCAATAATTTTGCATGTTCTCGCGAAAAATCCGCGAGAATGCGGCCACTGTGCCGCAACTTATGTATAGAAAAACCGCGATAGATCTTCGAGCGTTCGTCTAAAAATTGGCCAAAATTATTCCAAATTTCTGCAAGCGGACCACAAAAAATCAGCGAACTATTTTTCCGGTGCCCGCTTGCTCAAAATTCGCATGGCCGCTTGCCCCCGGCGATTATCTGAGTGGGTGTTGTGGGGGTGGCCCACAATCCCCCGATTTCGATTCAATGAAGTCCATCGATCGAAATAGCAGGAAATTTTGCGCTGATTTCGGCTTCAAAATATGACGATATAGCAATTTTCAAACCAACTAATGCTGCAATTAGTACGTAATCAAAAATCGGGTGAACATGCGGCCCGAAGGCGTACCCTCTTGGCGTACCAGCGGCGTACCATTTTCCTGCCAGCGCAGTTCCACAGCGTACCAGCGGCGTGCGACTGCCCTACCAGCGGCGTTTGCGTGCTGCGCTCAGAGGACAGTCGAACGCCGCTGGTACGCAACGAAAGTCGGAGTAGAGTCCGGAATAGCAAGCGAGACGCAGCTTCAGAGAAAGAATACGCGCTCC